CAGACATGCCTCCTCCCTCTGATCCTACCAGATATGTCTCTTTCCTCTGACCCTCTCAAATGTGCCTTCTCTTTCTGACTCTTCTCCCTCCAACTCACTGCCTGAAGCACCTTTTTCATTAAGCACTCAGTGCTCCCCACCCCAATAGGCACACAGCTGTTCACTGGTCTGTGCCATTCATGCACCACAGACTATAAGTGACGTTCTGGGTCGTGGCTGAGTAGGGTCTGCTGGGTGGGGACCTCCACCTTACCACAACTTCCTAGAATTGTCTCCATCACAACTCCGCAGTCCAACCCTCGGGGGCTGAGTGTCATTCACTTAAATTACTCTGGACCCAGCATGGCTTTAAGACATCATTTATTCCACAAATACTTATTTAGCACCTACTGTTTACCCAGTGCTATGTTGGGTCCCTGGAAGAAACGCTAGAACATGGCCCTGTCCTCAGTCAAGGAGAAGAGACAGACAATCACTGATGATGTATAGTGCTAAATGCATTCCTTCGCAGATACTATTGAGCACTTACTGTATGCTTGGTGCTGTTCTGAGCGCTTGGTGAATGCTAAGAAAGGAAGAGCCAGGAGCAGCAAGAGAGACTAACAGGGAGGATGGGTCCTGTTATCCAGGGTAGCCCCAGAGGACTTCCCTGAGGAGATGATCTCCAGAATGAGAAGGAGATGGCCATATGGAGAATGCTGGGTCAGGCGCTCTGGGCAGTGGGGAACAGCTTGCACGAGAGAAGGCCCTGAATATGCCTAAATGTGCACGTGCACAGCTTATAGTCACCGAATGCTCCCCACAGGCCTCCTGTGTCCCCCACCCCATGCTCAGCAGAGCAGCGACCGAGTGGATACGGCCTGTTCTGGCCCCCTCAGTGCTGGAAGCCTGGGGGTTGAGGGGCAGCAAATAAACGAATGACCACCACGGGGGTTGTTGAGGGAGGCCTCCTAAGAGGACACTTTGGAGCTGGGTTTTAAAGCTCAGAGTCCTGTCCTCTTAAGGAAGGGCATTCCAGGTAGAAGGCACAGTGTGGGCAAAGGCTGGGAGGTGTAGCTCTGTCGGCAGCTAAAGAGAATAGACCCCTGGCAGGGGCAGCAGGCCAGGCCACCTGGAAGGGGTGTCGTGTTGAGGCCCCTGTCCCATTTCCCCACAGCCTGGGTTCTTTTGTGCCCAGCCCGGTTTCTCTCTGGTAGGAGGGATAGAGGGCAGCCTCCTTAGCCTCCCATTGTGAGCGAGACCCTTAGGTTCAGGCAGGGGCTGGGGTTATCAGGATAGGCAGGGGTCCGGTGGCTGCCAGAAACCCTTCTCAGGGTCTTATCTTTCTGTCTCAGGGCAGATGAAGTCGGCCTGATCATGACCAACTTGGAGAAAGCTAATCAGGTGAGAAGATGTGTGCTAACACTCATTCTGCCCAGGGTGGGGGGTTCGGGCTGGGGGGAACCCAACTGAATCAATTGAACCCAACTGATATTTATTGATACCATTGCCATGTGCCATGTGCCATGTGCCATGCTGAGTGCTAGGGCTGAGAGTGTCTGGGACCCTGGGCTCCCGGAGGAAGGAGGAAGGGATGCTGACAGAATACTCAGAAATAGGGTGACCGAGGCAGTAGCAGTTGGGGAAGGGGCACCTGGCCCAGACTTGAGGGTCAGGGAGAACATCATGGAGGAAGGGCCATGTTGCTGAGACCTGACGAATAAATTGAAATTGTAGCGGGATGGCATTCCTGGCCAGGGGACAGCCTGGGTGAAGGCCAGGAGGCCACCTTCAGAGAACTGCAGTGCCCTTCCCTGGCAGCTCCTGTGCAGGAGGCCTCTCCAGCAGGAGGAAGGCGGCAGAGCGGTGACTGGTGAGCCCAGCCCGCAGGCCAAGCTGGGACATGGGTCTCTCCCAAGCAGACCAGGCGAGGAACTGTGTTCCAAAGAGCCTGAAGTGGTGACAGGGGACAAGCCCCAGCTGCTTCCTTCCCTCCCTCCCCACACCACCAGCTCTCCTGCAGCCTCCTCCCTTGATCCCAGCCACGCCAGCCAATCACTGGATGGACCCCAAACTTGCTTGGGGCCCCCATCTTCTAGTCCCAGCCCAGGTCCTCAAAAGTCCATGAGCCTCTGCGAGTCCCCATTTTCACATATGTAAATGGGGTCCTGCACCCTGCCTTCTTTTTTTTTTTTAAAGATTTTATTTATTTATTTGAGAGAGAGAATGAGAGAGAGAGAGAGAGAGCACATGAGAGGGGGGAGGGTCAGAGGGAGAAGCAGACTCCCCGCTGAGCAGGGAGCCCGATGCGGGACTCGATCCTGGACTCCAGGATCATGACCTGAGCCAAAAGCAGTTGCTTAACCAACTGGGCCACCCAGGCACCCTGCACCCTGCCTTCTTCAGACCTCAGACATGTTGCCGTCTGGGGGGCAAAGGGGGCAGGAGTCTGAAAGGAGGTGAAGTGTGGCCATGGGGTCCGGTCTGGAGTCTCAAGGGCCCAACCCATCTCCACCCACCCTCAGCTCCCTGCAGTGCCAGCAGCCAGGGACATGGCTAGGAGGGGCCAGCAGTGTGACAGCGAGTGGTCATTTCCCTGGAGGAGCACGCTTTACAGCTGGGTTCTAAAGCCCAGAAGGCCTTCTCTGGACGAAGGGCATTCCAGGCAGAAGGCACCACAGGATCAAAGGCCCAGAGGCACGGCTGTGCCGGCTTAAGGGCAGGGCCCGCCCACCTGCTAAGGAAACGTGGAAAAGAGTAGCATTTTTAGGGTAGTTTTTGAATATGTAATCCATTTACGTAGTTCAAAGCTCAAAAAGGTTCATACTTGGGAAACTCCCAATTCCTTCCCCAATTCGGCTTCCCAGTTCCCCCCGCTTTGGCAGCCTCTTTTACCTGTTTCTAGGGTCTCCTTCTAGAGATCCATTCACAAGCTCAGGAATATATCTATTTTTACCCTTTTTATAACAAAAACCATGATATACTGTACCCACCCTCCTGAACCTTATTTGTTCCACGTGTATATCTTAGAACTCATTCCATGTCTGCATAAAAGCAGTCCACTTATTTACAGCCGTGTGGTATTGCCCTACATGGCCACTCTGTCATCTAACCGGGGGGTGGCAAGCTTTCCGTGAAGGAGCAGAGAGTAAATATGCCCAGCTTTGTGTCACAGCCATTCCACTTTGCCATATGTGAAAGCATAGACCGTATGTGAGCGAATGGGTGTGGCTGTGTTCCGGAAAAACCTGATACACAAAACAGGCATCCAGCTGCAGTTTGCCTGCCCATGGTCTAACCAGTCCCCGACGGATGAAGACCATGATATTTTCAATCATTTAACATCATCATCAATCCTGCGGGGAACACCCGTACACAGATACTATTTCAGACATGCATGAGCCACTAAATAGGATGAATTCTGAGAAGTGAAATTCCTAGGCTGAGGATCTGTGCATTTTTATTTGACAGATGTGGCCAAACTGCCCAGTTTACACTCCCTGCAGCCAGTTAAAACAGGGCCAGTTTCCCTACAGCTTCACTAGTACCATGTGTCGCCAAACTTTTGGATCTTTGCCAGTCAAATAGGCTTGAGAAAAGAGATCTTAGGGCGCCTGGGTGGCTCAGTCGGTTAAGCGACTGCCTTCGGCTCAGGTCATGATCCTGGAGTCCTGGGATCGAGTCCCACATCGGGCTCCCTGCTCAGCAGGGAGTCTGCTTCTCCCGCTGACCCTCTTCCCTCTCATGCTCTCTATCTCTCATTCTCTCTCTCTCAAATAAATAAATAAATAATCTTAAAAAATTAAAAAAAGAGAAAAGAGAGCAGTTTGAATAGGAAACAATTCTTTTTTAATGTTTATCTTTTCTGAGTATAAAAGTAAAACCTCATTATAGAAAGTATGGAGAAGAAAATAAATGTCATCATATTAGGGTTTTTTTAATCTGTATTAAGATTATCCAGAATGTGAACAAGAGGATTCTGGAGCAGAGCAGATCAGTGTTACTACTTACATAGTAATAACCCTGCCGGTTTGCCCCAGTTCTTCCCCCAGGGGTGACAATCAGACATCATCTTGCACGCACCAGATTTCTTACTGTGGGCAAGGAACCCCCACATGTGAATCTGGATGGTTATATAGGAGAGGGACTTTCTGAGAGAGGGAGAAAACTAGCTCCCTAGTGTCATGATGAATGGAAGGGCAAGCATCCTGAGTTTTTAGCATGTGGAATGAAAATACTTCTCTCCATGGGGAAGATAAGACTCGTAACTTTCTAGTAGCTTTAAACCCAGATTTCCAACCCAGGGGATATGTCCATAGTCAGGTTCTCATCCCCCACTGAAATGTAAACACATACCTTCAGAGAGGAAAATTACTATGACTTGCTTCACCAGCTGATGTCAGAAACTGACTTCCGGGCTTGTCATTTAGCCCCGTCCTGTTTCAGTCAGATTTGCTCGGGAAGCCCCAGCTGTGCAGAAACATAAAAATATTTCTCTACACCTTCACACCCAAAACCTTTCCCAAAACAAAACTGACTTGAGCCATTTCTGGAACAAGGCAGGATACTAGTAAGTAAACAAATCAATTTAAAAAATAAATTAACAAAATGTGAACATGGATATATGTGGGTCTCCATGTGCCTATAGTAGGTATAGTGTCTTGATTGCCAAGATCAGTGTGAAAGTTAATCATTATGACCTGCATCACCAACTGAGAGTTAAAATACAGTCACAGCTCTTTTAACAAAGTTAGCTAATTAATGATACCTAAGCTAAGATACCTAATGAGTTGTAGTTTACCAGGTCACTCAATTTGCAAAACAACTCTATGAGGTAGTTACTTTTATCATCCCCATTTTATAAATAGGGAAACTGAGGCTGGGCAGATGAAATCTGTTGCCCAAGGTCACACAACCAGGGAGTGACAAAGTACAGATTTCTCTTGAAAGCCATAAGGCTGCATTGTTAACATTTGGAGGCTTCCTTCCAGGCTTTTTTCTTAGAAATTTTGGAGGAGTTAAGATCCACCATATACCCAGTTTGGAAAACTGGCATTCTGATTTAGAAATGTATTTCATTGCCCCCATTTCACAAGAGGAAAACTGAGACCCAGAGAGAGGAAGTGACTTGCCCAGGGGCCTGCCTCAGCTCATGGGAAACGCTCTGCAGACACTCCATCCAGGTGGCACTAGGTGGCATGGGAGCTGGAGACAAACACCCAGCCCTGCCTGACGCGTGCAGGGTGACGGCAGAAGGCCAGGATGGGATCCAGTGTGGCCCTGCTCACCTTTTAACTGCACTTGCCTCCACTCTCCTCCCCAGCGAGCTGAGGCTGCCCAGCGGGAGGTAGAAAGTCTTCGGGAACAACTTGCCTCAGTCAACAGCTCTATCCGCCTGGCCTGCTGCTCCCCCCAGGGACCCAGTGGGGTAAGGATGGTGGGGGAGCCAGAGGGAAAGGTTGGGAAAAGCCATGTTGGTGAGTATGAATATGCAGATGACATTTTGTGGATCAGTCATGTGCCTCTGTGTGAAATTAGGCCCATGAATGTGTGTGGATACAGTGGGCATAGCATCTAAATTGCCAAGGTCAATGTATAGTTAACTATAATTACTATGACTTGCTTTACCAGCTGAAGGTCAAAATACAGCCACAGCTCTTTGCAAACTCAAGCTTCCATATGTGATTCATAGGAGTCCAGCGTCTTCCTTTGGAGGCCCTCCTTTACCCCCCAGTTGTCCAAGAATACCAGCAACTTACTCAGGCCAAAGAGGACCATTTCCATGGCCAGATGCCTGGCAAGACTGGGTGGGTGGGAGGGTAAGTTTGAGCAATAGAGCAGCAGTGCAGTTTTGGTGGCTGCCACCAGGTGTCGCCATTGATCTCTGGTTCTCAGTCCTACCAAACCGCCGTAGGACCACTTAACCAAGATCTGAGATTGACACTCCTATCAGCCACTGGTTCCCAAACATGCCAGAGTGATTTCAGTGGGTTTTTCCAAACAGCCACGTGCTACAAAGCACCAGTCTTTAGTCATCAATCCTGAGGTTCCTGTGTTAAGCCTGCTTAGTGCATCTTTCTCTTTCCTCCTGGTTGGTGCCCCTCTGGGGTCCTGGGGTCAGAGGGATTTCAGTCAGAGCCACCCCAACTGACACTTCTGTCCTATGTTAAGAGTCTTCATTGCGGGGCACCTGGCTGGCTCAGTCAGTAGAGCATGCAACTGAATCTCACAGTCCTGAGTTCAAGCCCTGTGTTAGGCATGGAGCCTACTTAAAAAAAAAAAAAAAAAGTCTCCATTGCTCCTCTCCCAGAAAGCCTTGGTTCCTTATGTAAGCTGGTCCACCTTCTCTCCAGATCTCTGCCTACCAAGGGATTAGATTCCCGATTCCTTACATAATGACAGGTCTGCTCCAGGGTGATTTGCAGCCTCCACCCGTGCACCCGAAGCGGCCAGCATACCTTTCACTTCACCTGCCACCCTGAAACACTGGCCACTGTGCCCGTATGTGTTTTTCTGTTTCAGTGTTGGACTGTGTCTCTGCGAACGTGAATTACTATGAATGTATATGTCTGTGCCCTTTGGGCAAGTAACTGTATCCCTAATCTAACCGTGCCTCAGTTTCCTAACCTGTACGAGTAAGACCTACCTGACTGGGCTGTTGAGAAGATTACATGTAAAGTACCTAAAATGGTGCTCGGACCTCCTCACTGAGGTCCATGCTCAGCTAATGTTTAATGCTACCATTAGTAGTAGTGGTGTGTTTGGGGCATGTCTGAGGTGGTTTTGCCCATGCCCCATGTGACCTCTGAGTACATACATGACTCTGTGTGTCATAGTGACATGTCCATATGTGTATATCTCTTTGATGCCTGGATATTTCTGTGTGTCTGCATGTCAGCGTGAGTATTCCCACAGGTACTTGTATCAGTGTGTGCTCTGTTTGTGTCTGTGCCCCGGGAGGCAGTGTGTGTATATGTCAGTGTGCCTGGATATCTGCACAACGCAAGGAGTGAGCACAGGAGAGACTGAGAACAAGAGAGCTCATGGGTTCGCCTCAGAAGGAACTTGCCAGTGGTATTTAATTAACCCCTGTGGAACCTGGCAAATGCCTGTGTTAATCAGCCATGGGGAATTTTGCTGGTTTGGGGGTGAGTTTTTCTGATCCCCACAGTGGTGCTCGATGCTAATTAATTTAATGTGTTAATGGCATCTGCTTCCTGTTTTAATTGGCATTTATCTACCTGGAAGAATAGCCGGTATTGGTAGTGGTAGGCTGTGTTTTCTGCTCTGTTTTGTTTTTTGTAATGCTTCTTAGAGTCATTTGTAACTGCTCAGGACCAGCCCGACTTCAGGTCCTCTCAAACATCAGCTTCTTTTTCATGCAGGACAAAGGGACCATTTCCTAAAACCTGGAGAAGCCATGGGGCTTGGGGCCAGGGGCAAATTAGGAAGAGAAAGGAGCCACCGCTTGTGTGGCCTGTGGCTGTGGGGTCTCAGGTCTAAAACTGAGGGTCTGCCTGGAAGGGAGGGGAAATGTCTCGCTGGGATAGGACCTGTGCCCCATTTAGAAACCTAAACATTTATCTGTGATGTTCCCTCTGCTGGGATCACCCAGTCCCCACCTCTTCCTCACCAGACTATCTCCTTTTTTTCGTCCTTTTATAACAAAGGTTTTATTAAAGTATAATATATATAAGGACAAATGTGCATATCGTAAGTGTACAGCATTGAATTTTTCAGAGATGCCATAACCAGCATCCAGATCAACAAGTAGAATGCTCCCCGCCCCCAGAATGCCCCCCCCCTTGTGTCCCCATCTGGGGACACTGCTACTCCCCAATGGGAGCCACTCTCCTGGCTTGTAACCGCACAGCTGGGTTTGGCCTGGTTTTGTATCTGATCTTAATCAGATCGCGCGCACACACTTTGCTGTCTGGCTCCTTTCACTTCATATTCTTTTTTTTTTTTTAAGATTTTATTTATTTATTTGACAGAGAGAGAGACAGCAAGAGCAGGAACACAAGCAGGGGGAGTGGGAGAGGGAGAAGCAGGCTTCCCGCTGAGCAAGGAGCCCGATGCGGGGCTCAATCCCAGGACCCTGGGATCATGACCTGAGCTGAAGGCAAATGCTTAACGACTGAGCCACCCAGGCGCCCCTTAATTCATATTCTATTTGAGAGCGTAGTCCATGCTGTGTTAGTAGTTGTGGATTATCCATTTTCAGTGCTGTAGCATGTTCCATTGTATGGATGTGCCACGACCTGCTCATCCATTCTCTCATTGGAGGGCATTTGGAAGCCAGTGGAGGGTTTCCAGCTTGGGGCTGTTACAGAGAGGGCTGCTACGAATATTAGTCTTGGTGTTCGCATGTGTGTCTTGTGCGCGGTACCTGCTTTCCCCCCACATATGTACCAAGCAGAAGTGCACATGTCCACCCTTAGTGGACGCTGCCAAGCAATTTTCCAAATCACTAACTTGTTCTTGAACTTCATCACAGTTTAGACACATCTTCCTCCAGAAAACCTTCCCTGCCCACTCCCCACCAGTTTGAATACTAGAGGGAAGGTATCTAGGCTGGTAGGAGTGGCCTGAGCAAAGGCTCAGAGATAGGAGGAAAACCAGAGCCTGTAAGGAGGGGCTGAATCACTCTGGGGAGCACAGCACCTGGGCGGGGCGACACGTACCACGGATGGATTTCCCATTTTGTCTGGGATTCAGGGGTGGGGAAGCCAGCCCTCCAGCTGCCTGCCCCACACCTCTTAGCCCCTCAAAGCTCCACTTTGTCCTCAGGATAAGGTGAACTTCGCGTTGTGCTCAGGCCCCCGGCTTGAAGCCGCACTGGCCTCCAAGGATCGGGAGATCCTGCGGCTGCTGAAGGATGTGCAGCACCTCCAGAACTCTCTGCAGGAGCTGGAGGAGACCTCGGCCAACCAGATCGCGGACCTGGAGCGGCAGCTCACGGCTAAGTCCGAGGCCATAGAAGTAGGTCTTGGGAGAGGAGCTGTATAGAGAGGAGACGGGCGAGGTGTCCCCAGGCAGAAGGACGTGGGCCAGCCTGAAACCATCTTTGTTTCCTCCTCTAGAAGCTGGAAGAGAAGCTCCAGGCGCAGTCTGACTATGAAGAAATTAAAACGGAGCTGAGGTACTGTGCGGAGTGGGGCTCCACCACCCCCAGCCCTCTTCATTGGTGGGGAGGGGCCCTGGACAAAGTTCATGATCTTCCTCCCTCCCACCACACCCCATTTGGTGATACCCTTGTCTGTCCTCCATGGCAGCCTGGGTCTCAGAACTTAACCACACTTGGTTCTTTGCCCTCCAGAGCCACCTATCCGAGAACTTGCAAGGTAGCTCGTGGTCTGTGCGGGAACTGGCGGGGGGTGGTGCTTGCATCACATTACCTCAGGCCGGCCAGTGTGGGAGTTTGTAAATGCAGCACCCCTCAGGTGTCATTGGAAGCAGTTCACAGTCTGCTACTTAAGGCCTGTTGTTGTCCTGGGTCCAGTGTTATGTAAGGTCCACGGGGTGGGGCAGTTCTCAATCAGGGAAGATGAGCTAGAGGAAGTACCTCTCAAGACCTCTCCCAAGCCCCGGGAGCTTGGCTGGCCTCGGACTCTCTCCACTTTCTCTGGCAGCATCCTGAAAGCCATGAAGCTGGCCTCCAGCACCTGCAACCTCCCCCAGGTGAGTGTTCCCGCCGCTGTCCCCGCCGTGCAGGCTGCCCTTGAGAGCCTTCTGCCAACTGTGCCCTCTCAGCCTGGCTTCTTGTCTCCCCAGGGCATGGCCAAGCCCGAAGACTCATTGCTTATGGCAAAGGAGGCCTTCTTCCCCACGCAGAAATTCCTTCTGGAAAAGCCCAGTCTTCTGGCCAGCCCTGGTAGGGGAGACGGAATGCTCTTGGGGCCAAGGGGCTGTGATAGGGGCTGCCCGTGGGCCTCTGGCCTTCTCCGCGCCCCCACACCACCGCCTCCCATGGGGGCAGGAGACGGATGGAGAAAAGGGGTGCACATTGAATGAGCAGCTGCTGTGTGGTGGCGCTAGCTGGGGGCTGTCCGTGGCGAAGCCAGCTGGCAGTGCCCCCCACAGTGTCCACACACACCTACCCCACGCAGCTCACTCGGGCCCTCCCAAGGCTGCCCCCCAAAGGCTCCACTCAACCCCGAGCGAGCCCTGATGAGCAGCGGGAAGAGGTCACAGGGCACACGGAGGGCGTTCACATTGTACCCCCGCAGCAGGACTGCTGGTAATGACCCACAGACATTGCTCTCTCCCCAAATCACCTTCTCAGCTGCTCAGCCCTTCTCCCCACACAGTGGCTCCATAACCTTATAGCTGTGTGGCCCCGGCCAAGACTCTGTGCTGCCTCTGTTTCCTCATCTGTAAAGTGGGGACAACAACGGATCCATTCCATGGGTGCTGTTCACGTGGGGAATGCAAACACGTAGGACGCATAGGAAGAGGAGGGCTGCAAGGTGGGCAGGGGCCAGGAGTGGGCACCCTGCCGCGGTGGGCACTGGTCCGGATGCCCCATCCTGGGGCCAGGTGCTGGCACGTAATGGGTGCTCAGTGCATGGTCTAATGTCGGAGGGAGGGCTCCCCAGCACTGGCGTGTGGGTCAGGCCTGCACAGATGGGGGTTTGAGGGTCAGAAGGGGAGCTCTTAGCACTGCTGGACGCCCACAGCACTTCTCTCCCCCTCCCTGCCTGCCCTCTCCCCCGACCTTTTCTCCCTGAATTGCTCTCTCATGTATGTGTCTCTCTGCCTCCCACTTTCTGTCTCTTTGTCCCTCTGTCTCTTTCTGCCTTTCATTCTGTCTCTGCCTCCATCCGTGTCTCCTCTGGTTTCTCGTTTCTCTCTGCCTCTCTGTTTCCCTGTCTCTGTTTCGCTGGTGTCTCTCTCACTCTCTCTGTCACTCTCGATACTTCTGCCCCTGTCTCTCTCTCTCCCCATCACTGTCTGCTTCTGTCTCTCCTCTCTTCCTGCATCTGTCTCTCTGACATTATAGAGGAGGACCCTTCGGAGGACGATTCCATCAAAGACTCTCTGGGCACGGAGCACTCCTACCCATCCCCCCTGCAGCCCCCACCACCACCAGGGCCTGAAGATCCCCTGTCCCCCAGCCCTGGGCAGCCCCTGCTGGGTCCTGGCCTGGGCCCCGATGGCCCAAGGACTTTCTCACTGTCCCCCTTCCCCAGCTTGGCTTCTGGGGACAGACTGGCAGGGGACGCACTGCTGTCCAAGCACATGATGCCCCCGGCCACCTTCAAGGGGGAGGCAGGCGGCCTGCTGGTGTTCCCCCCGGCCTTCTACGGTGCCAAGCCCCCCACGGCCCCTGCTACCCCCGCTCCTGGCCCTGAGCCGCCTGGGGCCCCTGAGCCTGTGGACGGGGGTGGGGGCAGCACAGCTGGGGCAGGGGCCGGAACCGGAACCGAGGAGGAGCACCTGGACACGGCAGAGATTGCATTCCAGGTGAAGGAGCAGCTGCTCAAACACAACATCGGGCAGCGGGTGTTTGGCCACTATGTGCTGGGGCTGTCACAGGGCTCGGTCAGCGAGATCCTGGCCCGGCCCAAGCCCTGGCGCAAGCTCACGGTGAAGGGCAAGGAGCCCTTCATCAAGATGAAGCAGTTCCTGTCGGACGAGCAGAACGTGTTGGCTCTGAGGACCATCCAGGTGCGGCAGCGAGGTAAGGGCCCCTCCCAAGGCGCAGGGGCTGAGGGCACAGGCTCTGGGTGCAGAACCAAACTCTGCCACCTCCCAGCTGTGTCACCTGGGGCAAATGACTTTGCCTCTCTGTGCCCCAGGTTCCCCTTCTGTAAAACAAGGAAATATATCCTCATTCCCCTCTTCCTGGGGCCTGTGGCTACCCCTTGCTCCCCACCTGGCCCTAATGGGACAGCTCAGGCTGATCACTGTGGGAGAAGGCTGAGCCCAGGGGCTGCCCTGGCAAGTAGGTACTTCCTGAGGACCTCCAAGCCTCAGTTTGCCCATCCATGAAATGGCCTGCGTTCCTGCCAACTTGCCAGACTTGACTTTTAGGGTAGCCCATGTGAATGGCCCAAGCTTTGACCTTACAGACACACCTGAGCTTGAGTTCCAGCTCTGCCACTCGCGGACTGGGTGACCTGGGGCAGCTGACTTTAGCTTCCATGCCTCGGCTTCCCTATCCATCCCCATCTGTCAGCCTCCTCCGAGGGTTAAATGAGTATAAATCTGTCAGCAGGGCCCCTGGAACATAGTAATTGCTTGAGAACTATTAGCTGTGGTGGTGGCCATTGTTGTCATCATTGTAGTATTATTATTATTATTATTAATTCAAGCCAGAATCATTTGTAGATCCAGTTTATCACACAGACTGGCTAAGTGGTGGTCTTGCCACACACACTCAAGGTCTGGCCCTCCCTCTCCCAGCCCTGGCCCTGGAGCCCCTGAGGGAGGAGGGGACCCACCCTTCACCCTGCCCAGCTCCAGGGACTGACCCCCAGCATGCAGGTCCCCACGACAGATGCCCCCTTGCCTCCCCCAGGCAGTATCACCCCAAGGATCCGCACACCAGAGACAGGCTCGGACGACGCCATCAAGAGCATCCTGGAACAGGCCAAGAAGGAGATCGAGTCCCAGAAGGGGGGTGAGTGCCACTGCCGTAGGGGAGGCCTGAGGCCTCCAGGACCTGCCCTGAGCAGGAGGTGTGCCCTCATCTGCCTTCGTCTACTACAGCGGGATTCCGAGCAGGTCAGAACCTCTTTGCCAACCAACCTGCAGCCAAGTGAGGCCTGGAAAGCCAGGTCCCTGTTAGTATGGGAGCCACTAGCCATGCGTGACTATATCCACTCAATTTACTTCAAGTTAAATAAAATTACAGCTTCAGTTTTTTGCACAGTGACGAGTGGCCGCCATATGGGACAGCCCAGCCACTGCCGCCGCCCTGGTCTGGATTGTCCGGGTGTCTTCAACTTTGAGGAGACACAGTGCTCCGTAATCGCACAGAAACTCTGCCAAGCACAGAGGCCGAGACCTCCCCTCCTTCCTGCACCTCCACCTCCTAGTTCCCAAGGAGACCCTGTTCTGGCTTCCTCCTGCCTCCCCGTCTATACCTTCTGCACATTCCAGGGGTCCCTGCGTTAGCCTCATAGTGCTGCTGTTCAGCCCCAAACTCAATGGCTAAAAACAACACAAACTGATGGTCTTACAGCTCCAGAAGTCACAGGCCCACAGTCAGCTCCCTGGGCTAGAGGCAAGGTGTCAGCAGGGCTGCATTCCTTCTGGAGACTCCAGAGGAGAATCCATTTCCTTACCTCTTCCAGCTTCTAGTGGCTCCCACATTCCTTGCTTCATGGCCCCTCCTGCAGCCTCATGGCCAGCATCATAGCAGCTTCCTCTCTGCCTCTGATTCTCCTGTTTCCCTCTCATAAGCACCCTTGTGATGATGCGGGGCCCACCCACGTGACCCAGGATCGTCTTCCATCTCAAAATCCTTAACTTAATCACATCTGCAGAATCCCCTTTGCCATGTGAAGTAACATAGTCTGGGCCCAGGGAAGTGGATACCATTGGGAGACCGTTATTTAGCCAACCAGAGTGTACTTTCTCCATCAGCCCCTGAAACACAGGGTTCCCCCAGGGGGCACCCCCAGGCCCTCTGACTTTCCTATCCTTCCTAGATGAGCTAGTCCATTCCTGGAAGTTCCAACAACACCCAAACTACCCCCTCTCCAGGCCACACCTCTCTCTCGAGTTCCAGAGCCCTAAGCCAACTGCTGGCTGGACATGTCCACCAAAGGCCCCACTGGCATCTCAGACTCAGCATGTCTGAGATGGAACTCACTGTCTTCCCCTACCCCTCACTCACTCCCCAAACCCACCAGCTCAAGGCTGGGAACCCGTCACAGCTGGTGCCAGGTGGGGTGAGAGGCCATCCTTGACTGCCACCATCATCACTTGCTGGGACCGTTGCATTAGCCTCTTCACTGGTATTACCAATGATATTCTAGGTCCCACTGCAGCCCATTCTCCACCCAGAGGCCAGAGGGATCTTTCTAGAGCATACACATGGGCATGTCACTACTCAGAATCCTTCCACAGCTCCCCATTGCCCTCAAGATAAAAAGGCCAACTCCTCAACAAGGCCCCAGGCCCTATGGTCTTGACTTGTCCCGACTCCCTATACCTCTCGAATGAACTGCTTATAGCCATGTCCATTCTCATGCTGTTCCATGTGTCCCTAATGCCATCCTCACCCCTGGCCAACTCCTGCTCATTCTCAACAATTCAACTCAGAAGTCACCTCGTCTAGAAAACCCCCCACCCCCATCCAGATGGATTGGATACCCACCCTCCTTGGATTCCCCATAATCACCTACATTGCTTGATGCAATGGAGCCAGAGTGGCCTGGCTGCAAATTTTGTCTCTGCTGTTTATTAGCTGTGTGACCTTGGGCAAGCCTCTTAGCCTCTCTGTGCCTCCATTTTCTCATATTTAAAATAGGCACAATATTAGTACTTCTTTCTTAAGGTTGTATGAAGATCAAATGAAATCAGTCCTGACGAGCACTCAGCCTGGGGGCCTGGCATGTAGAAGATGCACCTGAAAATTTAGCTGTCATTAGAGTTAACATCATTGTTTTTGTCTCTGTTACATTTGTTCATGTTACAAATACCTCTGCTATGTCTGTCCCTCCTACCAGTCTGAGGACTTTTTGCAGCCAGGGACGGAGTTGCATCCCTGCACCCAGCACGGTGCATCGCCACACCATGTAGACTGTTGCTCACGTTGAAGCTGACGCTGGCCTCCACATTCCCACTTTGTGGTGCCTGCTGCCCCCTGGTGGCAACTCAGAGCAAAAGTGTCCTGATTCCCCAGCGTCTGATTTTGTGGCGGGGAGCCAAGTGTTTCCCAAGGGCCCTCCCTCCTGCCTGGTCCCTGGTGAGGGGCAGAGGAGGCTCACCCTGCTAGGAGCCTACACTGCCCCACCCAGATAATCCACTGAGGCCCTACTGTGTACAGTATAATTTCTTTCTTCTTGAGCTCCTGTGGCAAGAGAGGCAATCGTTCAGTAAACATTGGTTAAGTGTCTACTGCATGCTGGACACGAGGTACAGCTGTGGACGAGACACAATATTGGAGTGTAAAGAACCCTGAGAAACAGATTAATCAAACTCTCCCACTAAATAAACGGGACAGCTGAGAACAGAGAGGGGGAGACACGCTCACAGTTACACAGAGACCCAGGTCTCCTGACTCCCTATACAGTGCACTCCCACAGCCCCGGGGGGGCATGTCCGAAACAAGATAGCAGAGAAATTAAAAAGACAACATCAGGGGCACCTGGGTGGCTCAGTTGATAAAGCGTCCAACTCTTAATTTCAGGCTCAGGTCATGATCTCAGGGTAGTGAGATTGAGCCCCGAGTCAGGCTCCATGCTGGGCGTGGAGCCTGCTTAAGATTCTCTCTCCCTCTGCCCCTCCCCCCCATGCACACTCTCTGTCTCTAAAAACATAGTAATAATAAGACAAAAGGCAACATCATAGCAGAGTGGACCAGCCAGGGAGCTTTCCATTCAGGGTCTGTGAAGAGGTAGCAAGAGAAAAAAACGCCTGGGTTCTTAACCCCATGCCACTGACAAGAGTGAATGCCACGCAGAAAGCAACTAGCAGTCCCCCAGGGAGGAAATGAATATGGCTGACTGCTAACTCGAGAGTTCTAGTCTCAGAATTGAAGGAAATATCCAGGATGGGGACAAAGGTTTATATCCTTTATCGTTGTTCACAACAGTGACAAACTAGAAACAACCTAAGTGTCCAGCAGTGGGGGAATCAGGTAAATAAAGCAGAGAATATCCCTTCAAGTGGCATAGGTAGTCGCCAAAGATAGAACTTTTAATCATGAGAAAATAATACTCATGTTGATACTAAGGGGGGACGAACCAGGCTACCCTCCCACATCAAGGATGATCACCCCATGCATGCGGTTAGAAAGCAGACCAGAAGCAATACATGACGATATTCCATGTGGTTGCCTTTGGCGGAGATACTAAATTCATTTACCTGGCTGGCTTTATTGCAGTATCTTCACAGTATCTCCAAAGCATGCTTATACTGATGCTGAGAACATCTTTGCCCTTCAAACCATGCCCTGACCCTGGGCCTCTGGCCACCCTTTCATCCTCCCGATAGGTGAGTCCAAGAACGCGACAGCCCCACTCAGCATCACCAATGGCACAGCCCCCGCCAGCACCTCAGAAGATGCCATCAAGAACATTCTGGAGCAAGCACGCCGCGAGATGCAGGCGCAACAGCAGGCGCTGCTGGAGATGGAGGCAGGCCCCCGGGGCCGCTCGGTGCCTCCCTCGCCCCCAGAGCGGCCGTCGCTGGCTGCCGTGAGCCAGACCGGGGCCCCGACCTACGTCAAGCAGGAGGACAGCAGTGGCGGCAGTGGCGGGGGGACCAGCAGCAGCGCCACACAGACGTCCCTCACGGTCCTGTCCCCCGCAGCCTTCGTGCAGAGCATCATCCGGAAGGTCAAGTCGGAGATCGGAGACGCCGGCTACTTTGACCACCACTGGGCCTCGGACCGCGGCCTGCTCAGCCGCCCCTATGCCTCTGTCTCGCCCTCCCTCTCCTCCTCCTCCTCCAGCTACTCTGGACAGCCCAACGGGAGGGCCTGGCCCCGCGGGGATGAGGCCCCCTCAGCCCCTGAGGATGAGGCGGCAGGGGCCGAGGACGAGGCCCCCAGGCTGGGCGAGCTGAAGTCTGAAGGGGGCGTCCCGGAGGCCGGCAGCGGTGGGCGGCTGGCCTACTACCCTGCGTATGTGCCCCGCACACTGAAGCCCACCGTGCCGCCCCTGACCCCCGAGCAGTACGAGCTTTACATGTACCGGGAGGTGGACACCCTGGAGCTGACACGCCAGGTCAAGGAGAAGCTAGCCAAGAATGGAATCTGCCAGAGGATCTTTGGGGAGAAGGTGAAGATAGTGGGGCCCACCCCCAAGAAGCTCAGGGGGCCGTGGGGCCCATGGGACCTGGGGAGGGAGGACCACCGAGGACCCAGCCCCCAGCGTTTATGGTCTGGAAAGAGAGGTTATGTATATGAACAGGAACAAGGCAAAAGCAGGATTCAAACCCAGGTCTGCATGACCCCAAACCCTTTTTCCTGCATCCACCTGTCCCTGGGTCCTGGGGGAAGGGCACCATAGGCAGGGCTGACATTCAGTCCTATGGTTGTTCAAGCAGTGAAATGCTTCTGTCTGCTTAGGAATAGCTACTTACCTCCTCTCCTCCAGAACCCTCCATCCCTCTCAATGGTCCACCCACTAAAGGGTTAAGGCTCAGCCCAGGCAGGGGTGCCCTGCAGTACCAGTGGTTAAGTAGTTTTTAACAGCACCTCTGCCCATAGCAGAGGAACAGGCAAAGGGTCAGGTGAGCTGAGAGATAGGAGTGACTTAAGTGGAAGACACTGGAAGACTTCCTGGAGGAGGGGGCATTTGAGGGCTCTTAAAGTCAGGAAGGATTCTTACACGTAGGAAAATCTGGAAGGGCACTGCTGATGGGGGGCATGGCCCAGGCACACAGCAGGCACCTGGGAAATGAACAAATCAAGGCAGCCCTGGTCTCCCAGAGAATCCGAGTGAACAGTCGTCCCTATGGATCTCACGGAGAGGGAGGGAGAGGAGGCCAGGGAATGGCCCAGGAGCCTACCTCCCTACCCTTCCTGCTCCGCCCATCCCCAGGTGCTGGGCCTGTCCCAGGGCAGTGTGAGCGACATGCTGTCCCGGCCAAAGCCCTGGAGCAAGCTGACGCAGAAGGGGCGAGAGCCCTTCATCCGCATGCAGCTGTGGCTCTCGGACCAGCTCGGCCAGGCCATCAGCCAGCAGCCCAGCGCCTCCCAGGGTGAGTGTGGTCGGGGCCCTCTCGTAGGATGCTGCCAGCCCCCCAGAACTGCCATTCCCAGCTGCCATTTCCCTGCTCCACCTTTCATCCTTCCTTCAACCAGAATGCCCTCTGTTGGTGGTTTTAGACTCTAGGTGGCGCCAGGGTTCCTAGAGCAAGTGGAGAAAATACTTTGCTTGCGGAGCCGAAGCCGCAACCCCCCATCCCCTGACCAGAATCGCTGACTGAATCTCTCTTTCCCAGTGATGCAACACGCAGCCTCAGAAGCCTTAGCACAGAGATTTGGGCTGTTACCCATCCATCAGTGATGCACAGGCAGGGTGGGGTCTGAACGTTGCCTGGGTGAGGAAACTCGGGCTCAGAGAGTTACCCAAAGTCACAGAGCAGAGATGGAAGGACAGAATCCGGGGAGGGACTCTAGGAAGCCCACGCTCCCTCCCCCACAACGACCAGTGGGCAGGTCAGTCGGAGTCCGGGTAAGGTGCAGGTATCAACAAGAATACTACCAGAAACATAATGTCAGGCAACAAAAGCATCCCAGGTGATGGTGTTTATTTTAGAAGTTCATGGCCACAAGACAAGACAGCACATTGTTGCAGCATTGGCTACAAGCCTGTGCATTAAAATGTCAAAAAGAGGGGCGCCTGGCTGGCTCAATCGGTAGAGCATGTGACTCTTGATCTCAGGGTTGTGAGTTCAAGCCCCATGTGGGGCATAGAGCTTACTTTAAAAAAAAAAAGTCAAAAAGAGCCACCACTCACCAGCCCGGGAAGAGGGGTTCCATGGGGGAGGGGAGGGCTCTGGCTGGCTCTGTTGCTTTTTGTCTTTAAAACAAACAGGGAGATTTGAAGCAAATAAGGGAGCATTAACATCTATTAAGGGCATGGACCCAGGGAAGGGAAGGAAGATTTACGTTTTCTTTTCAGTATATTTCTATACTTTGAAATATTTTATAATCAAAAATTTTAATTGAAAAACCCTGCTCCATCAGGCAGGTGTAAGGACTAATGCACCCTTTCTAATGACAGTTGCCATTTGTCACACACAAGGCTGAGCATTTGCAGTATCTTCCTCTTTAATCCTCACATCAGTCTTGACCAGAGGGACTATTTGTCATTCCCATCTTACAGAAGAAGAAATGGAGGGTCTGAGTAGCACAGTGATGTGCCCAAGGTTATCAGCCAGTTAGTAGCAGAACCAGGATTAGAATGCAGGGCTTTTAGCCATTAGGGTCCCTAGGAGTGCTTACCCAGAGCCCATAGCTGTGAAAGAGTTCCCATTCTTATGTTGTATTGTAATTAATCTGTTTATTGTTGTAAAACTCACATCATTTACCATTTGAACCATTTTTAAAGTGTACGATTCAGTAGCGTTTAGTACATCCAAAACTTTGTGCAACCCCCCCGCCCCCCCCCCGCTCTCTCTCACCCCAGGACATTCTTATCACCCCAAAAGGAACCCTGTGAGCATTAATCAGTCATGCCCACTCACCCCTCCCCCAGGCCCTGCAACCACCAATCTGCTTCCTGCCTGTGTGGATTTGCCTCTTCTGGACATTCATACATTATGTGGCCTTTTGTGTCTGGCTTCTTTCACTGAGCATCATGTTTTCAAGGCTCATCCATGTTGTAGTCTGTCTCAGTACTTCATTCCTGTCTATGGCCAAATAATATTTCCATGTGCAGATAGACCGCCTTTTGGCGGTTGTGAATGATGCTGCTGTGAACATTCACGCATATGTTTTTGAACACCTGTTTTTGATGCCTTCGGATTATATACCTCAGAGTGGAATTGCTGGGTCGGATGATAATTCTATAACTTACTGAGGAGCTTCCAAACTGTTTTCCATAGTGATTGCACCCTTTTACAGCCTGGGCAGCAATGTCAGGGGAGGGGGGTCCTATTTCTTTACATTCTCACCAACACCTGCTATTCTCTGTGTTTGAAGCCATCCCCGTGGGTGTGAGTTGGCATCTCATTGTAGTTCTGATTTGCATTTCCCCAAGGTCGAATTGTTTTGGCTTTTAAAAATGTCTTTGTAGTGTAAGGATAGGGTTATGCTAAGACAGTCAAGAATGGCGTTCCTGGTGGAAGAACAGCACAAGCAAAAGCTAGGAGGGAGGATCCTTCGCAGATTAGGAAGGGAGTGAGGTCCAGTGGACGCCTTGTCCCTGCCCCTGCCACCAACACCCGCGGAACAGGAAGCCAGGGCCCACATTCATGGAGGCAGAGATGTGGGCAGTGGCTGCTGGCTTGGGGTGGGGGTGGGGGGCTGATCCAACTAAGACCCCCAGAGCCACCACCTGTCCACAACCTAGAGGCAGGAGAGAGATCCATTGCCCACACGGTCCCACATAGTCTGGCCAGGGGGTTGAGTATGGACCTGTTCCAGCCCCATTTTGTCCATGGCCCGGGGAGTTGGGGGTGAGCCGGATGACAGGGGAGCCTTCTGAAGCATGCCCCCCTGCCCCCCGCCCCAGCTGCCCACCAGCAGAGCCTCGGTCAAGTAACAGGCTCTTCGGCCCTGCGCCCAGTGGTCTGCATGGGTACTGCAGCCACTGGTGCCCGAGGCTTGCTTCTCAGAATTCTCTAGCTCCCCCCACGGGGTCTCTGACTCCCGCACTGAGTCTCTCCCACTGTCGTTGTCCTTTCTCCCCCCTCCCTTGTCTTTCTTGCTGCCTTTTTCCACTCTTTGTCCCAGTCTCTCCCCCCCCATCTCCTTCTTTCCCTGTTCCTCTCTCCCACTCTGTGCCTGTCCCTACCCTGTGTCCCCCTGTCGCTTCATCTCTCTCCTTCCATCTCTCCCTCACTGTCTCTCTCCATCATGACCAACTGTCCTGTTTGCCCAGGACACAGGACTTTCTGTCCTACAACCAGCAAAATCCTGGGCAAACAGACCAGGTGGTCACCCTGCTGTCCCCACTCTGCCCTGCCAACATCCGTTTCCAATGCCCTTGCTCAAGCCCCAGCCAACCTGTTTGGGTTCAACCTCCCAGCCCTTTATAATTAGTGGGTTCCTCCTGATAGAGTTGATTTCTGAATCTTTCGATAATTTTGTCGGAAGTGGTACTCGAAGTCTGAGTAGTCAGAAAAGGCTGGCACTGGGGCGCCTGGGTGGCTCAGTCGTTAAGCGTCTGCCTTCGGCTCAGGTCATGATCCCAGGGTCCTGGGATCGAGCCCCGCATCGGGCTCCCTGCTCGGCGGGAAGCCTGCGTCTCTCTCTCCCACTCGCCCTGCTTGTGTTCCCTCTCTCGCTGTGTCTCTCTGTCAAATAAATAAATAAAAATCTTTAAAAAAAAAAAAAAAAAAAGGCCGGCATTCTGCCTGGAGGCTGGCTGATTTCAGGCTCATCATCTGGGTCTCCCTCCATCTCCTCATCCCGCTCCCTCTCTAGTTGGAAATCTGGCCCTTTAGGAGGGGATGCAGTGTTCCAAGAGGCAGATGCCTTTGAAGACTCTCGATTCTCCTCCAGCTGAGCCCAGCTCCTCTCCCATGCCAGTGATGGATGGACTCTCGATACAGCCTCTTGCTTTCCCAGGCTGGCCCTTCCCCACCAGCTCTGTGTCTCTGCTGGTGACAGCGACAAGGGACGTGTCAGCTCCAGCATCACACGGATGCCACCCGAATGAGCCCGATTTGGGGGCGGGGGGAACAATGTGTCTTTATGATGCCAGATGTGGGCTGCCAGCTCCACGGGGCTGCAATGTCACTGCTCAGAACTTTGAGGCTTCACTTTGCACCTTGCAAGGGAACACAGAGGTCCTGGCCAAAATTTATTCACTCAACAGACTTCTGCCCAGCACCTCCTTCCTCCTTCCTCCCCAGGCTCTAGAACTCACCCACGACTAACGTGTGTTCCCGGCCTGCCAGGGGCTTCTAGTGGAGAAGAGGACAGTGTCGGATATAAGCAGACCTCAGCTTGCCGCTACTAGTCCCCGTGTGACCTTGGACACATTGCCCAATAGCTCTGAGCCTCAGTTTCCTCCTCTATAAAATGGGATGACATGGTAGCTACCTCCTAGAGATGTTACAAAGGTCATTGAGATCACATAACATTATTCTGGACATGTAATAAGTACCCAGTAAAAGGAAGTTTTATTAATTATCATCATCATCATCGTTGTCATCATTGTCATCTGGTAAGGGTGAGATCTGGCACAAGAAGGAAATTATAGTGAAGTGTAACAATGTAGTCAAAGTGCTATTATACCTTAAAGGTGTGCACCTCAGGGAAGGGACGTTTGGGACTGGGTCTTGAAGGATGCATAGGAGTTCAAGGTTAGGGAGAAGGCCTTCAGGATGGCAAAAGCATAGGGGCTTAGAAGAGCCTAGGAGGTTGGGTGGGAGGGGATGATTGGGCTGTGGAGAGTAGCTCCAGGTCTGTGGGGTGGGGTTCCTACAAGAGAGTCCAGAGCCTTAAAACACTAGGACAAGGAGAACACATTTCACGTGCAAGGGTCAATGGGGAGCCATTTAAGGTTCTGGAACATAGCAATCCACTTGCTTTCCACAGGGAAGGAAAAATCCATCCAGAGCAGGGGCTCAGGATATTCTTTCTGGAATCAAACCACTGCAGGATGGTTGTGGGGCTCTTTTCACTTCCTAGCCATCATACATTTTTATGCTTCACGGATTTACAGCAGGCAGCAGCCAAATGTCTTGAAGTAGAGGAAACTGTTTCTAATTTGCTGGAAGGTACCAGGTGCACCAGCACTGGGATTCCTCAACCCTCCACCATGGTCCCCACCCCTTTAGGGGCATCTCCTCAGGCACCTCCCCTCGGCCTGGGATAGTCAGGAGGCTCAGCTCATGCCCGAAAGCCCAGTGGGAGACTGACTCCTCAGGAGGTGACCTGCATCCTCTCATGGAGTCCTCTTGACGGCACCGCAGGGAGGAGGGCTGCTGTAGGCATGGTGCCACGTGCTCTGCGGAGCCATTTAACAGATTCAGGGACCGGGGCTCTGGCAAGGTTGTCCCACCCAACTTGTCTTCCAAATGGCCTTTGACAAATGAAAACCGTGGCTTATAAACTCACTATTTAAAGATGTCAGTGTACCGTGGACATCTGGTTTTTTTTAGCTTTATTGAGATACATTTGACATAGTAACATTGTGTAAGTTTAAAGTATACAGTGTGATGATTTCATAGGCATATATATTGCAAAATGTTTACCACAATAAGACTAGCTAACACATCCTTCACCTCACATAATTACCATTTTGTTGTTCTGTTGGGAATAGTGAAGTTCTACTCTCATAGGCAAGTGTCAAGTATATAATGCCGAATTGTTCACCATAGTCACCACACTGTATGTTACATCCCCAGAACTGACTCATCTTATGTGGACGTCTTTTCATTATGTTATTTTTCAATGCTTCAGGGAATCCCCATATTTTATTTAGTTAATCTCTGGTGGTTGGGTTTATAGAGGGTTGCCAACTTACTTTTTGGAACTTTTCATTTTTGAAGTAATTTCTAATTAATTGAAGAGTTGAAACAATGGAACAACAGACTCCCTGTACCCGACACACAGACTCACCAGTTGCTTATTTTGCCATGTTTGTGCCTTTCTCTCCTGACCACTGGAGATATTAGTTCATATCATGTCCCTTTACCCCTAAATGCTTCAACAAGCATTTCCCAAGAATGAGAAACCTGACAATGATACAATACCATTGATGTAGCCCACTATCTATATTCAGGTTTCTTTGGTTGTCCCAATAATATCCTTTATATAGTTTTTTAAAGTAAACTCTATGCCCAGTGTGGGGCTTGAACTCACAACCCCAAGATCAAGAGACTCCACAGACTGAGCCAGCCAGGCACCCGCCCCATCCTTTATAAAATTTTGTTTCTCCCTGTCCAGGATCGGAGTCAGGAATACTTGTATTTTGTAGTCCTGTCTCTTTAGTCTCCCAATTTGAACAGTCTTCTGCATCTCTTTTTTTCCAGTTTTGACATTTTTGAAGCCCAGAAGCCAGTAATTCTATAGACAGCCTCAATCCGGCTTTGTCTGCTGCCTCCTCGTGATTAGGTTCAGGCCCTGCACTTTGGGCAGGAATATCACAGAAGTGAAGTGAAGCTGTGTCCTCAGTACATTGCAGCAGGAGGAACCAATTGTTGATTTGTCCTTTCACTGGTGATGTTACCTTTGGTCCTTTGGTTAAGGTGATGTCTGCCAAGTAGCTGTATCCTGTAGAGTTACTGTTTTTCCCTTTGTAATTAGTAAGTATCCTATAGGGAGATACTTTGAGACCATGTAAATATGCTACTCTTGATCAAACTTTCGTCTGCTAGTTTTTGCATCCAGGATGGTCCCTGCCTAAGATACTACTATGGTGGTTGCAAAATGGGCTGTTGCCAACACTTGGCTCCAACAAACACCCAAACCATGTGTGTCTGTTCCAAATGGCAGTGACTGCCTTCTCTGTCTCTCTGTGCCCACAGCCAGTCCCACGGAACCAAGGTCCTCACCGTCCCCACCACCTAGCCCCACAGAGCCGGAGAGGAGCTCCCAGGAGCCCTTGATCCTTGCACTGGAGGGCAGCAAGGAGAACCAGCAGCCGGAGGGACGCTCCAGCTCCTCGCTGGGGGGGAAGATGTACTCGGGCAGCCAGACCACAGGGGGTATCCAGGAGATTGTGGCCATGTCCCCCGAGCTGGACACATACTCCATCACCAAGAGAGTCAAAGAGGTCCTCACGGACAACAACCTAGGTACAGGGTGGCGGGAATCAGGGATGCTGCCTCCTAGCCTGTTTGGCTCTTACTTGCTTTGAGCAGAGTGCCCACAGTGAGATCCTGGGGCCCAAGGTCCAGCCTGCAGGGGCTGGTCAGCCCAGAGGCAACCAGGACCCTCTGGGAAGCATCTGACTCTGACCTGGTTCCCTAGAGTAGGACAAACGGGGGGTGAGTGCAGGTCTGATGTGACCTGAAATCCTCAGCCCACAGCGACAGTGAGCCTCTAGCACAATCCTGACACAGGCTCAGGCCCCTTGTCCTCAGGGGACACAGGAGAAACCTGTTCTCTTTCACTCTATGGATCACAAACTCCTCTGAGTCTCCATTGCCGATCATGACCCTCTCCCAGAGGGATGCGCACAGACCCCGAATTCTTCACTGTAATTTCTATTATAAAAATAAGACATGTTCCTTATTTTAAAATATCAAACAGTATAGAAAAAAAAGCTAAAAAGTAAAATTCCCCTAAGCCCCCAATCATACTCCAGTTTTTATATATCTTTGATACTTCCTAAAAACATTCAAGAATATATGTATACCTGATTTTTTATTTTTTTCTATGTAGATGAATTTGCATACATACTATCCTATAACTGGCTTTTTAAAAGTGAACCCTGTTTTAGACACCCTTCCACATTAGAATGATCAGAACACCTGCAGTCTTCTTCCCTGTTGCCAAGTGTTGCAGACCCCCCACATTTTTGACCCACTTGATGAGCATTTTGTTTGTTTCCAATTTCCTTCTGCCTCTGAAACGTGGTTTCATGCGTTTCATGCGTCTTTGTGCCTTTGAGCAAGTAGGACTGGAGGGAATTGCAGGATCAGAGAATATACGCATTGAAATTTTGATACAATATGTCAAATTACTTACTAACGAGGTAACACTAATTTGTACACACAAAGTTTTCAGACCTGCTCCGGGATCTCCTAGGAGTGAAGGAAATCTAAATTGTGAAAGCATTTTTGTTGGTAGCTGTTGGGTCCCCTACCCCCAACCTCCTATTTTGCAGAAAAGTCCCTTCCAGTTTCCCCCTGGGTGTGGGTTCCCTCCCGCATGTGTATGGTGCTTCCCTCTGAGTTAGTGGAGACGTCCCGGGTTCTCTTTTTCTTGTCTCTCCTGGGCGCACTCGGCCCAGCCTGGGGTAACAGGTTGCCCTCCCCTGTCCCTAGGGCAGCGGCTGTTCGGGGAGAGCATCCTGGGGCTGACACAGGGCTCCGTGTCTGACCTGCTGTCCCGCCCCAAACCTTGGCATAAGCTGAGCCTAAAGGGACGGGAGCCCTTTGTACGCATGCAGCTGTGGCTCAATGACCCCCAGAATGTGGAGAAGCTGAGGGACATGAAGAAGCTGGAGAAGAAAGGTGAGCACTGGGTATTCTGGGCGTGGCTTCAGGTTCTTCCATTGCAACCATATCTAGTTGTAACCCAAAGAAAGCCAGCGCCCCAAGGCCCCATCTCAACCTGGTGTGGGGCTGCAAAACACAACAATCCCCCAGCGCATAATTGAAAGCAACTAAACCATTTACTGTTTCTCCCATGAAAACCCCTATACCCCAACTCTCTCAGCATCCTTCCATACACCCATAGCCGCTTCAAAGTCTTTTGTCAACCCCAACTGCACATTCCCCAGAATGCTCTCTGTCTGATCCCCCTTTGCCTGTAACCCAGACTCTACACAAACAAAGCACAAAAGTGGCCCAGCAGACAGGAATTCTCCCTCCTGGGGGTGGGCGAGGAGATTGCAGATTCTTCCATCATCCAATGTTATATCCCTGAAAAACTGAGCCGGCCCTGAGCACCTGCTGTGTGCCCGCCCACTCTCATGCTGTGATGAAGGGAGTCTAAAAAAGCTCGAGGTTGGGAGAGGAGATACAAGGAACTGAAAAGCTGTCGCTCAGGGCACCAGGGCAGTTCCCGGTGAGGGCCCAGGGCCAAGCCAGGCTGTGAAGGGCCCACTCCCTGTTGGCCTCAGACAACTCTGCACTTGAGAACTTGGCCCGCCACTTCCTGGCTCTGTGACCTTGGGCAAGTCGCTCCCTCTCTTTGTGCCTCTCCTCCTTCGTCTGAAGAGTCTCAGGGCATTGCTGTTTACAGCAATTAATTACATCCTCCATTCTTGAAGCGGGCTTCTTTTCCCCACATTTTGGTGATTTGGGGTTGAGATGCATCATGCAATTATGGGGATCATTTAAATGAATGTCCTGCCCTGGCCCCGCAAGACTGTAGTGAAATTCAGTGACACTTCTGTCAACCAAGAGACTATAGCATAGCACCTGGTGTTGAGCATTTCCTATCTCTGAGCACCCAGCTAAGCTCTCTGCATACTTAACACCTGGGTGCTAACGACCAGACTTCAGAGGCAGGTGTGGGCAGACAAGCATCTCAGCGGAGGGTTTGGAAGGATGTGGAAGCAGGAGCAGAGGAGGGAGGAAAGGATGAAACTGGCAGTGGGCCCCAGAGTGTGAGGCACCGGCCCAGAGCCGCCCCCACCCCTGCTCCAGCCGCCACTAGGGGATGACCCGGCCTCTGGTCTGCACCCCCTCAGTGCTTCCTTCCCCCGCCTGCCCCAGCCTACCTCAAGCGCAGGTACGGTCTCATCAGCACTGGCTCAGACAGCGAATCCCCAGCCACCCGCTCGGAGTGCCCCAGCCCCTGCCTGCAGCCCCAGGACCTGAGCCTCCTGCAAATCAAGAAGCCCCGAGTGGTGCTGGCGCCCGAGGAGAAGGAGGCACTGAAGAAGGCCTACCAGCTGGAGCCCTACCCCTCCCAGCAGACCATCGAGCTCCTCTCCTTCCAGCTCAACCTCAAGACCAACACCGTCATCAACTGGTTCCACAACTACAGGTACGGTGCCCGGCCGTGCCTGCTGGGAGGGTGGCCGGAGTGCGGCCGGACCCCTGCCCCATCCCAGGCCCAGGGGGGAGCCCAGCTTGGCCTCTGGGAGGTATGGCCCAGGTGTTTAGATTCAGAGTCTAGGCAAACCTGGGCATAAATCCCAGCTCCACCATTTCCAGCTGTGAGCCCCTGAGCACGGCGCTTCACCTCCCTGATTCGGAGTCTCCTGACCTATAAAATGGGAACTGTAGTGGGATCTGTTTTCTGGAGTTGAGCACTGATTCAGTGGGCTACCATATTTACATAACATACTGGCCACATGGTATGGGGTAGGTGATGATACTGTTGTCACCTATCTTAATTATTACTTCACCCAGTTTGTGTCTGCCTCTCTGAAGGGACAGGGAATGGTGTTTGGGGCATAGGACTGAGGAGCCCTAACTACCCATTGAGCCTCATGTGGGAGCCCTGATTTGGGACTATTGGCCTCTCCCACTCCGGAGGCCAAAAGAAACCCCTCTGGCAGCCCCTCAGTCTCCCCCCGCCTGGAGGAGTGGGTGATCCCTATGTCTGCGGCTGCCTCCCACTCACCGGTCCCTAGTCTTGGGGGTCACCGACTTAACAGTGGCTGGGCTTCTGGGAGTTCAGCGCCGGGGCTGGCTGGGAGCGTTGACGGGGTTCAGCAGTGCCCGAGGAGACTGCAAAGGGGCTTCCTGAGTTCAGCTGAGAGCCCTGTGGAGAAGGCTTGATGGGATTCCAGGGACCATCTCTGAGCTTCTCTCCACCCCCCCTCCGCCAAGCTTCCTGAGCAAGAAAGGTCTCTGGTGTCCATGCGGTGCCAGAGAGAGTCCATCCACGTGTTCCAGGGGGCAGGGAGAAGAGGAAGGAGGAACCTGGAAAGGTGGAACATTTGAAATCTCCTCTCTCCACTGCCCAGGCATGGGCACCCCAAAGACCTGAGTTCAGTCCCACCTCGGCTGTGTGTTCTTGGGCAAGTTACTGTACTTCTCTGGGTCTCATCCCTATTTTACAGATAGGGCAGATAAGGAATCTAATACTTAACCCACAATGCTGAATCAAGGATCAAATGAAAAAACGTCAGGCATAAATATATTGTTAAATATTGCTGCTTATGATCTGGCTCAGATTCAGGGCCTTCCAAACAGCAAAGAACACAGGTCCCTAAATCCTCACATCCTCCTTCCCTTCCTGCGGAATATGGGGATGTCCTCTCCCCTCTTGTTCCCCGTAGGAACTGAGCACTCCATTTTTATCCAACGTATTCATTCAACAAATAGTTACAATGTATGCACAGTGACCCAGGATCTGGAGATACAGGGGTTCAAAGCCATCATCCTGGGGCGCCTGGGGGGCTCAGTCAGTTAAGCGTCTGCCTTCAGCTCAGGTCACGATCCCAGGGTCCGGGATCAAGCCCCGCATCAGGCTCCCTGCTCAGCGGGGACTCTGCTTCTCCCTCTCCCTCTGTGATCTCTCTCGCTCTCACTGTCTCTCACTCTCAAATAAATAAAATCTTAAAAAAAAAAAAAGCCATCATCCCTGCCCTTAGAGAGCTTAAAATTGTGAACCAGATCATTTTACTACAACCTAATTGCTGTAAAGGGAGGAATAAGGGGCTGAGGGAAAAGGGAATTCTGTCCAGGGAAGACTACAGAAGAGGTGGCATTTAAGCTGGGTTTTAAAGGATGACTAAGAATTTGCACCGAGGAGCAGAGAGAATTCCACTCCAAAAATAAGAAACTGGTCTCAAAGAGTTACAGGAGAACATATCATTTCCTTTCGTAAATGTTTATTGAGCACCTGCTCTGCACCAGGCACTGAAGAGAACAAGACAAAGCCCTTGCCCTTACTATCTCTTACAGACCAGCAGGGACAGTCACTACTACATGAGCATTCATAGTAATACATCATTACAAACTGCACTGAACTCTGGGAAAGGTGAACAACAAGATGTTTTGAGAATAAATTATCAGGGAGGGGTGCCGGGGTGGCTCAGTCAGTTAAGTGTCCAGCTCTTGGTTTCAGCTCAGGTCATAATCTCAGGGTTGTGGGATTGAGCCCCGAGTCAGGCTCTGCACTCAGAGTGGAGTCTACTGGAGATTGTCTCCCTCTCCCTCTGCTTCTCCCCCTGCTCGTGTGCTCGCTCTCTCCCTCTCTCAGATAAATAAATATAATCTTTAGCGGTGCCTGGGTGGCTCAGTCATTAAGCATCTGCCTTCGGCTCAGGTCATGATCCCGGGGTCCTGGGATCGAGCCCCGCGTCGGGCTCCCTGCTCCGCGGGAAGCCTGCTTCTCCCTCTCCCCCTCCCCCTGCTTGTGTTCCCTCTCTCGCTGTGTCTCTCTGTGTCAAATAAATAAAAATTGTTTAAAAAGAGAGACTATTTATACTATGGTGTGAATGACTATTAGCCTCATATTTATATTTGTTCTACAGTTTAGATCGTCTAATGATGGAACTTCAGACACTGAGCCATCCTAAACGCCCCCTCCATTCTCACCTCAGTGGAACCCACTGGGCTCTCCCTGATCGCAGGAGCTCTTCCCTCTTCTAGAGGAGACTGAGGGTGAAGGTGGAGTCCCCTGGATGGTGGGCTAATGCCACCTTTGTAGAGGGACTGGAGACTGAACCAGATGACCGCTCAGAGTCCTTGTGGGCCCAGGCTACTGGGATGGGACCCCATCGCCAAACTGGACAGGGAGCCAGGGAGGCAAGGGAGTGTAGCCCGATCCCTGGGCTGCCAGCCCGACTGCTTGCTCTGTAGTCATGGCAGTCCCTGTGCTTCTCTGAGCCTTGTTTCTTGTATCTGTAGGAATGAGACTAATATCCTTTTCCTAATAAGGTTATTATGAAAAATAAATGAAATAATCTGCAAAAAGCACTTGGCCCGGTGCCTGATACATGATAAGCAGCCATTAACGTGATGTGTGTAACTTACAATTTTTAGTATTCTATATCAATAACTTGTACTTTATTATCAATATAAATGGGCAGAGGGCTACAGCAGGTAGCTGAGGAAGCCATTCTGTTCTATGACCTTGAGCGAGTCATTTGACTTCTCTGGACTTCATTCTACTGTTAGGAAAATAATGAATGGGGTTAGTCCCAATCCTGACCTGTCCTGCTTAAAACGTGTGTAAGACTGAGGTGCCCTCTGATGGCAGGGGAGCAGTTGGAGTGAAGAGAGAGCGAATGGGTTCTGGACTGGAATCTGGGCTTGCCAGGTTCTGCTCTGCCCACGTGCCGTGGTGACCTGTACAAGTCACTCTTCGCACCTCGGTTTCCCCGTCTGGGCTGATGTCTAAGAGCCCCCACAGGAAAGAAGCAGAGAGATGTTGCCACAAACTAGATCTGGGTTTGACTTCAAGAAATGCTCTAGACTGGTGCTGTCCAAAAGAAACATAATGCAAGCCACATGGGATTTAAAATTCTCTAGTAGCCACATTAAAAAACAGAAATACGTGAAATTAATTGTAACAGTGTATTTAGCCTAATGTAACCATTTCAGTGTGTAATCAATATAAAAACTTTACCAATGAGACCTTTTACTTTTCTTTGTATTAAGCCTTCAAAATCCAGTGTGTATTTTAACCCGTACAGCACATCTCCATTCAGACTAGCCACATTTTAAGTGCTCAAGAGCCACGTGTGGCCAGTGGTTCCTCTTTTGGACAGCGCAGGTCTAGATCATGAACTTTGGAATCCAGCAATCCTGAGGTCAGGCCCTGAACTCCACTACTTAGTGGCTGTGTGAGGCTTGTTTCCTCCTGTGTGAAGTAAGGATAATAATAGCACCCACTAGTAAGGTTGTTGACAGGACTTACTAAGACACCGCATGTGAGGAGGCCCCTGGGAAAGTGGGTGGGGTCAAAATGCCACTTGTCTGGATTGAGTCCCGCCCCTCGCTCACCACCATCTCTGCCCCAGGTCCCGGATGCGCCGGGAGATGTTGGTGGAGGGGACCCAAGACGAACCAGACCTTGACCCCAGTGGGGGTCCTGGCATCCTACCACCAGGCCACTCCCACCCAGACCCTACCCCGCAGAGCCCCGACTCTGAGGCTGAGGACCAGAAGCCTACCGTGAAGGAACTGGATCTTCGGGAAGGCTCTGAGGAGAGCATCACACCCCCAACCACCCAGGACAAGGCCCAGGTGAGGATTAAGCAGGAACAGACTGAGGAGGATGCAGAGGAAGAGGCGGGCAACCAGCTCCAGGACTCAGGGGAGCCAGACAAAGGCCAAGGTTCCCCCAAAGAGGCGCATCCTGACCGTCCGGGTAACGACAGACTCCCTAAAGTGGCCCCGGGGCTCCTCCTTCCAGGCGGGACCACGCCGGACTGCCCCTCACTACAGCCCCCCCAGGAGGACGAGGGCGGGGAGCGGCTCCACCCGGACCCTCTAAGTTTTAAGTCGGTCTCAGAGTCCTCGCGCTGTAGCCTGGAGGTGTCCCTGAACTCACCCTCGGCTGCCTCCTCGCCGGGCCTCATGATGTCTGTGTCACCCGTCCCTTCCTCCTCAGCCCCCATCTCCCCGTCCCCACCCGGCGCCCCTCCTGCCAAAGTGCCGAGTGCCAGCCCCATCGCCGACACAGCTGGGGCTTTGCACCCCAGCGCCAAGGTGAACCCCAACCTGCAACGGAGACACGAGAAAATGGCCAACCTGAACAGCATCATCTACCGGCTGGAGAGGGCTGCCAATCGGGAGGAGGCCCTGGAGTGGGAGTTCTGAAGGCAGGGGCACGAGGGCAGAGGGCATCCCAGGGGGCCAGCTCTCCCCCTCTCACTCACGCTCCCAGACGGGGTGGGGGAAGGAAGGAAGGAACTCAGCCATCCAGATGTGGACAGCAGCGTTACGCAGTTTACGTTCTTTGTTGTAATCCTAGTTCTGTGACGTTGTGAGTGAGCGGGCGGGCCAAGTGCCACTGCCTCTTCTTTGGGGCACCCCTCGCCCCCCCACCCCGGGAGCATCCTCTTCCCCACCCCGGCCTCTCTGCGGGAGGCAGAAGCGACGTGGCACCACATTTTCACCTGGAAACTCCAAACTCTTTTAGAAAAATAAATATTTATAGACCTCTTTTAGATATTTTAATAAAGGATCCTTTGGAATTTATTCCCAGCCAATGCTGTTTTGATATTACAGAGAGTTATAAAATCAGGATGCTGTCACAACTGTTGCGAAGTATACCCTGAAGTTGTGTCGTTTTTGCCACTAGATGAGATTAAAAGAAGACGATTGTTCAAAGCCATCACGAAACACTGTAAGACTGACCAAAATTTAGACAACCCTTGAGCTGCGGGTTTTTTTTTTCCCATATCTGTCTGTGAGACACAGCACATTGCTACTGCCCTTCCAGAAACCGTGCTGAAAAGAAAAAGTCCAAAAGACTCTAAATGAAAACCTCGATGCCGTTGAGGATGTGTTTCATTCTGGTGGTCTGTTTTGCAACCTTGATAACACAGAACGTCCCGTGCCGTTGTCAGTGTTGTAGAGGCGTGGGCTGCGGCCAGCCATGCTCCCCAAGACGTGACACGGTACAAAACTGCTTCCAGTCCCGCTCATCAGAAACCTGGGGGCCGCCGGGGTTGGACACCCAGCCTGTCCGTCTGCAGACAAGATGTGTTTCTGGATCCTTCGGAAAGCCAGGCGAGGGGTCAGGTGATTGGAGGGCAGCACTTGAGCTAAAGTGACCCCGTTCGCCCACCTGAACCGTGGCCACGGCACAGGAAGTCTCCCCACTGGCTTTCCAGAGCAGGACTGCAGCCGTCATCTTCCCCTCCCTGTGTTCTAAGAAAATAACAGCGTTGGTCATCCCACGAGTACCCAGCACCAAAAAGTAGATTCCTCCAACTAGAGACCCCAGCTCCCTTTACCTTGCCATCTCCTCTCTCAAGCTGACCCAAGTGCTGTTTCTGGAAGGCATCTGCAACTCCCAAACCCACACAGAACAAAGCGAGAGGGTTGAGGGCACTGCAGCATGACCACCGTATCTCTCAGTCTGCCCTCCTGCCTTCCAACACACGACATTCTGGGGAGCAAAGACTCAATCCCCCCAACTCAGAGAAGCCCTTCCTTTAGCATCTTCATCGTCAGGGTTTCTGGTGGGAGAGTTCCCAGTTTGGATGGAACAGCCACCGTATTGGTTTTTGACTCTCTTCTGTTTTTCTTTCTTTTCCTTTCTCAAACTCTCTGTGGGAAGGCTGAATTGGTGACTCCCCAGCTGAATCCAGAATGACGATGAAAAGGTGGCCTTAATCGGTGCCAGTCTAGTGCCGGGGGAGATAGCTGAGGGCTTTCAAGGATGCAGCAAGCATTTTGAAACCAGGCCGGCAAAATCCAGTGACCAGAAGGGGACAACTGAGGGCTGTTCCAGAAATCTCAACTCTCATGCACCCAGGCCAGGCTGCAGTCTCCACAACCAACGAAGAACAACACAAACCCTGCAGGAAAACATCCTTTTCCACACACCCAGGCTATGCATTGAAGAGTTTTCCACTGTATACATTTTTATCCAGATGAAGGTATTTTTATATTTTGACAATAGGAAACAGTGACCAATTTTCAGAGTAATCAAATCTGGAACAAACGAAACATCTCCTTTTAGCCACCACCGCCCTGTCGCAATTAAGACAACCGTGAGGGAACACACCACTTTCTACTGTTGAAACCCACACAACATTGAAATCCAGGCTCACCCGCAGACTACAGATCTTAGAGGACTAAATCTGGCTTTGTGTGACGGGATTTGATTAAGCACTTAGCATATAGTCTTTTGAACACGGAAATCCTGTTGTACTTAAAGCTAGCAGACCCATGAACAACTTTGTCAGGTTCGCGTCCTATAATGGTAAAAACAAAACAAAAACCCACAAAACTGTTTCTATGAGAGATTGATGAACTTTGTTTAAAATTTTAAAAAGAACACGTTCTGTAAACGCGTCGCTCAATACAGAATTGTATAATAATGTCTGGGTGTCCTGCTTGCTTTGTTCTAGAGCTGGGGATGCAAACTGGGGGTCCGAGCTGGCCCTCAGAGGTGTTTTACAAGATGTTTTGTAAAAAAACAACAACAACAACAACAACAAACTGGCTTTTAAATTAGTCTGCCACCACTAAAATATGGGGGTATGTCACCTAAAAATCCTAATTACTGGCTTTTCTTGAAAACCATAAGATCTGGCCACACTGGACCCAAGTTCCAATGTGACAGCAGCTCCCCCCCTTTTAGAGAGGACATTGGCTGTGATGAGCCTCAGTCCTCACCTGTGCCACCTCCCTGGGTCCTGTGGACATCTCTGTTGGAGATTGTGCTGTGGGCTCCGGCAAAGGAAAATGGGTCGGATTCCATTTTTCTCCTCAGTGCAGCAGGGTAGAAGCAAGTTAATCTCTGGGGCTGAGATCATGCCCTGCCCAAATCAGTGGCCACAGGTCATGGCCCCAGGATCACCCAGTTTATAAGCTGCGCCCACCTCAGTGGAGTGAGGAGCAGGTGACCCCGGTCTCCCAATAGGAAAAGGCCAAGACGGACTTCCTAGTAACCAACAGAGCATCGCCCCTTTCCATGATGTATAACTTGGGCCTTGGTTTCCCCGTCTGAGAAATTAGGGGTATCACAGCCGCCAGCTCGGGAGGTGATTATGAGGAATAATCATGCACATAAATTATTTTACAGTGTGGCACATCAGGGCTCAACATTACCTATTGTTATCACGAGCAGGGGTCAGTTTCTTTCAACCCGTGCTGGTGAGTCTCTGCTTCTGGCTACAGGTTTTTTTCTTGACCAGTAACGTCAGGAGAGTCCCTGAGGGGGCATTACTCACCCGTGAGCCAAGGCCACATGGTGTCCCAAGACAGACCTTTCCTGTCTGGAAACCTTCCACACGTCCTTAAAGTGGGAATTAAATGATTAATTACCTTCATTACGATAATTACTCCAAACCAGCAGGATGGCCCCCTGTCAAGGCAGGGAGAGCAGCATTGTGTAAGGCCAAAGGCCCCCGTCCATGGAGGCGCCAAGCTAGCCCTTAAGGGTGACATCTCAGGCAGGACTGGCCTTCTCCTGGAGAAGAGAAGGATGAGAGTCAAGAGCTCCGGGTGAGGGGCCAGACCACCTGGTCTCAAGCCTCGCTCCACCTATTGGAGCCATAGGACCCTGGGTAAATGCCTAAACTGCTCTGTGCCTCAGTTTCCCCAAGCTGTACAGTGGAAGCAATAGTTATGGCACCTTCCCTATAAGGTTGTAAGGATTCAAATGAAGCAAAGCCATGGCCTGACCCTTTGGACCCTCGGTTCACAGCTCTGGAAAAACAGAAGGCAGAAATCCCCAGGATGTGGCCCCAGGGTGTAGGTGGGGGCTGGAGTAGAGAAGAAGCCACATCTGACACAAGCCACCTAAGAACCTGTGGAAGCAGGTGCCCCTGCCTTTGGGAACTAAAGCTCCATCCTGGGCCATCATCTTTGGTGTTGACATTGTCTGCAGTTGCTGTCCATCTGGAGTGGAAAATGCAGTAAAAAACACAGAAATGTGGAATGCTGAACTAGGGAGCACAGGCGAGGGGGAGTGGAGAGACCAGAAAGGTACGAGAAGGCAGAGAAGGCCTCGGAGGAGGGTGATGGTAGGTTTCGATCAGGGGACAGGGGAGAGCAGAGAGCTGAGCTGGGGGAAAGTTGGTAACTTTCTGTCCGGGTAATAAGTATTTATTGAGTGCCTATGTGTGCTCAGTGATCCAATGGCAGAAACATGGGGAACCATGAGAGTATGAGTAGTGAGATCCAGGAAGGCTTCCTGGAGGAGAGGACATCTCAGCTGATAACCTGAAATACTATAGGAGTTAGAGGAGAAGCAGGGACAAGAACATGGAGAAACAGGTCCAAAAGAGGCTGGAATTTGAGGTGGGGTGGAGGAAGGAAGAAGGATGAGGGTCCGATCCTGAAGATCCTTGAGCCATGGTGGGAAATACCTTTCTCCTGAGGGTACCGAGATCCATGGACAGTGTGAGGCAGGGGGTTGCTATGGGCAGACCAGCATTCTTAGGAAGTTAGGAGACTCCATCTGCCTGGAGAGGTGGCAAGCCAGAGAAGAGCAGCAGGCCCACGCCTACCATAGGCCCTGACCCTCAGGCCACTATGGTCCTTGCTTCCTGACCCTCAGGCCACTATGGTCCTTGCTTCCTACTCCCGCCCTCCTTTGGCTCCTAGTTAAGCTCCTGCACTGGGCCAACAGCCCCATCTCCCATCACCTACTGGTGAGTGAAAAAACCAGACCTCACCTGGCTGATTAACCCATGACTGCCAGGGTGGCTATTCTAGAGATCATTCCAAAGGCCAGGCTCTCAGGGAGTCTGCTTCTCCCTCTCCCTCTGCCTCTCCCCCTGCTTGTGCTCTCTCTGTCTCTCTCTCTCAAATGAATAAATAAAATCTTTTTTAAAAATAAAGAAAAATAAAGGCCAGGCTCTCCATAGCTAAAGGCCCAGGGTATATGTTGCTCTAGAATCTGGGCTGCCTTTGCAGGCACCCTGGAGGCTGAAGTCACCCCCATAAACCCAAGGGCAGTAGGGAAGGGGCAGGGAACAGCATCGTGAGTGACCTTAGCCAAGGTGACTCCTCACCCCAGGTCAGTTTTCCCATCTGCCACAATGAAGGGATAAGACCGTTGGTTTCGTGATCTTCTCCAGCCCCCCAGGGCGTAGTTGTTAAAAGCACTAGCTTTGGACTCAGCCTGGCCTGGGTTT